TCCGTTCTCCGTGATGATCACTTCCGGATTTCCATATCTGTCTTTGATGTAGTTCAAGAGCTTCCTAAGTCCCTGCGGGTACAACTTCAACCAATCCGTTCCCGTTCTGCAACATTATTAAGTCTTCCCTTCGACGAAAGTCTATTGTGGTGTTTGAACTGATCAATATATCCCTTGAAATGTAATTAGCTCCTTGTAATCATGGTGATTTTGCTCTTAAATATTTTAAAGAAATTTCCTACCGCTTTTGATATGAACCTGTATATTCGCCGTGTGAGTTTATATTAATATTTAACATCATTAAGTTAAACTTTATCAAAATCGATACGGCTATAATTGCAGATTGAGCTCCTGTACTCACCCATACCAGGAAGGATCCGAAGATAATTGTGTATCCGTATCGCATTCAAAACTGACACAATCTATGTCATTTACGTAATTTGTTACATATGTGGACGTGTAGGCATTTAAGCCGAAGAAGTCGGAGCTGCCGGCAAGGATCTCCTGTTCTTCAGCAGTGAAGACGGGGAGACGGGATTCCGGAAACCCTTGCGCCTCGCTTTTCTCTCCAATCTACGTACGACGAGCAGAATATTGCTTGAGCAATGTCCTATAGGCTAATTGCCGTCAAATCTTGAGCTATTGTAGCTGAATAACAATTTTGCCATTTTGATGTCCCCGCGGCGATGCAGAACGTTTGAGATTTCATATGTATTTACGAAGGCAAAAACTTTTTCCAACCTTGGAGCGTTACATCTGAGTGAAATCACCTGAAACCCTTCTCAGTTGATTGGTTAAATTGGTTGCAAATACAGGAAAATGCTCGCTGGAAGGAATATTGCAGGTAAAGGTGTGTCTTGTTCCGGCAATTTTTTGCTGTCAAAGGTAGAGATAGTTGGGATTTGCATTCAAGACTTTGAAAAATGCCGAGATTATTCCGAGAGATTTTAACTCCAGGAAATATCACCGTACCATAAGTATCAAATTCAATTGCCTAGCATAATTTAATAATAAAAAGGTGCTAATAAAGCGTTCCTATGTATCTCTTAACTGTCACTTAGCTCACGATTCAGGGTAGTTGAAGAGAAATATTATTAGCCCTATATGGATATCTGACCTTGTCGATCATCGTTTGCGGATAGTTGCCGAAGTAGACCGGATCGGCGAACCATCCCAGGTCGAATTCCATCCGACGGGCTGCCGCCGCCACATCCTCCGGGTTTTCTGGGTTCAATGGACCGTTCTGGCCTGTGTTCAG